CTATGTTAACTTTATTTCCAAAATTGTTAATATGGGAATGAAATGTTTAGTTTCATCAGTAGTCAAAGATACCGTAACACACAAATTAATAAAAATAGTATGTTTGTCCAGTATTGTTGTATTTTGAACAGCTCTGTTAAATCGCAATCAGTTGTTTAATAGTGGAATAAAAATAATGGTCTGTCTACATTACATTTACCCGTAATTACATCATCCAAAGGTTAAAACGTCAACTGTGTATGAAACTTTGGGTACCGGCCTACTTTCATAAGTGGGGCCAAAAACAACCGAACCAAACATTTATTCTCTCGTGACTCTCTCGTGCCACTGGCGTAGAAAAAAAAGAATGAAAATATTGAATCCATTATTTCATTCGGTTGTTTTTGGCCCCACTTATGAAAGTCTACCCAAAACTTTTTTTTATCATCCAAGTAGCCTATGTAATCATTTGGAATCTATGTAAGAGGAAATTTGTCATGCTGTATTTTTTTTCAAACGAATTCAACTTCTGGAAAGCTATAGGCCCTATGTATGTGTGTGTACATGTGTGCATGTGAGGATGTCTGTAAAAGTGGTAGGAGGGTTGACTGCAGGTGACAGCTCCTAGTATATCACTCATCTCTTCTTGACAAAAATCTGAACAACTAAAGCATGGGATGTTAGTTTTGTTTTACACTTTAAAGTTATAGGGTTAAAATGTTTTATATTTAGTTTCTATAGATAAAATTTTAATTTTGTTTCATAATTTAAAATTTGGAAACTGAAATGATTAGAGAGGAAAGAATCAGAGTAGTTAGAATAAAATTTAGCATCAGACTTGATTAGTAGGAACCAAATGATAAATTAAAGGAGGAGATTTTACCTTGAACTATTTTCTTCTTTGTAAATCTTTATGTGTCTGAGATATTTAGAGTTTTAGTAAAAAGAGTTTTAACTTGGTTAATACTTTGATATAGAGAAAAACCACTAAATAATCAAGAGCAAAAAATAATTGAGTACAACCTTTTATATTTATCAACATGGACACAGAACATTTTAAAATCCAACAATAATAATAAAGAAAATGTTAATATTTTTAAACCGAAAATATGTGTTAGAGCCAGACTAAGGGCAAAATATTTGAATGTCAAAACCTTTATGTCTTGGAGACAGACTAAAGAGAAAATAAATCAATAGAATACTTAACAGAAACTATCATTTAGTAATTTAAAATATTAACAGTTAATGAATGAATTACTTTTTCTAGTTTCAAGAATAATTTGTATTGCTAATTTTAATAAAGCAATAGAATACCCAAAATCCCTAATTTCAAGAAATAGATATTAAAGGTCAAAAAGAGAAAGGACAAAATTTAATGTTTGTAACTATATGAGTTAGTAGGTATATCTGTGCTTTGCAGAGTTTTATCGATTTAAAAAGCCTTTGAAACTATAGGAAAACAGTTACGATAAGTATCAGTTATTACACTACATATACACACACTTCCTACACATATACACTTCATATAGTCATATGTTTGAGCAAACGAAATACAATAAACAACTAAATAACTTGCAAACATATGTCTTCCTGGATCAGCTGTAAAAAAATGAATTCCATATCAAGTAAGAAACATAAACTTAGTGTATCGTCATAGCTTCTTATCTATTGTTTGCTGCTGTTCATTTAATATTTAGCTCCAAAGATCCCACCTGAAAGCTTTGAAGGCTAGAGGGTAGCCATAATTTAGAATGCCTAAAGAATGTCTTTAGTGTGGATGTCTTTCCTAGTGGCTATGTAGCTCAAAATTAATATTTGTTCTCCAAACTAGGTCCACAATTAAATCATCAAATTAATATACGAGAACTAATATATAGAATTAATATACAATTATTATTGTATATATTAATTAAGTAATAATTAGTAATTATTATTAATATACAATTATTATAGAATTAATATACAAGAATACTCATATTCTTGGGTATTTTTTTCACATGATGTAAGAATACAGAGAGACATGTATATACACCACTTTTCATTCATAACTTTACTATTCAGCATACTATAATGTAATGTATTGCACACATTTACTCACATGGTGAGGAAGGGACGAGTAATGTCATTAAGAGGTAATGTCATTATCTAGAGAGCCAGTAGCAAGGTCAGGTCAGTTATGAAGTTGCCATAAAAGAGAGTGGCCGACATTATACTGAGTGATGCATCATTGAGTTACAATGGGAGGTTTCCTTTAGATCCTTTGTTTCTTCAATTATTGAAATGCATTGACCATGGTAGAAAACAATATGGTAGACAGTTTGTAATTCACTGTAAACACATAACTTACATCAACGTACTATTGATAATTTTTTTGTGAATGGATATTTTAGCTTATGGTTTTGAATTGTTGTGGACAAAGTTGATTTTGAAACCCTCATGTGTGATTTTAGCTTAACCTTCATGTACATCAGTCAAAACGTCCCCATCTCAACGATTGATTATTGATTATTGAAAAGGGGTTTCATCCAGAGAAAAGCTACTAGCTTTTTGAAGGTTTATAACTGGACCCAGTGACTACCACCATAGACAAAAAGAATTAAATACTTTTTGTCTATGCTACTACTTGATCATGGGGCTTTTAATAAGTGGTCCTGACTAATGACACAGCTGGTTTAAGTCTTACTCAGTAACAAATAAAGCATCACACTTCACAAGTGACACTTCATCACACTTCATTCTACCCTCATCTTTCACTTGGGTTAAAACACACAACTAGGTGAAATCCCCATCTCAAACAGTAACATAGTATGGTGGTAGTCTCAATGAAGTTTTCAACATCAAAAAGCTACTGATTTTCTAAAATATTTGCCTTTCCCTCTTTCTCTCTTTTATATAGTTATTGAGTTGATTGAAGAATTAGTTAAGGAATAGTGGTTAGTATCTCAAAGCATGATTTCAGCCAAGATTTATTGATTGGGATGAGCTGTGTATTAAGATAGAATTCTTCACAGCAGACTTATAAATTTTTTAAATCTCACCATCACAAAACTATATTGGGGCAAACCTTTTGACAAATATGGCAAAAATACCGACCAACAACGTTTTTGATGTGTCCAATACAATACATCTTTAAGGAGGGTTAAAATTTAACACTAAGTTCAACAAAAACATTTCACCTAGTACCACTTCATTTTACCTATTACATTTTCTACTGGTTTTACCAGTTCAACGTCGCACTTATTTCCGAAGGCCAAAGATTTTATATACAATATACTTTAAAGCTAATACAGTCTACTTTGTCTGTGGAATCCTACCTTCAAGTTTAAGGAAGTATATTTATACTAAAACATTTTACTTCTTCTTACACTACGAATTAAAAATTTGGTTTTGTTCCTACAGGAAGAGACGTCAATCTCCAGACTTCCTGTTGGACGTAGCCGCGTCCCAGGGCTCTCCGAGCAGACTGACGCGCAGATCCTTTCAAGGAGTGCCTCAGGACTCTTGGGCGCGCAGACGACGCAAACCTCTCTCCCTCTAACACCCCTATGACCAACCCTCCTCATTCAGCCTGTACACATAGCGTATAATCGAATAGAAATAAACGTTTTTGTATAGTCATAAACGCGAGGATAAACTTTAATACATCTTTATACACTATTATTACTCTAGGTGATTTATTTTTCTACAACAGATAGGTTTGTTATCGTATGATTTTGGACGATCTCGAGCTCGAGGATTATGTGATATGGTGCGATTGTTACGTAAATATGTTTTAATTAATAAAGTTTAGGTTACGATGTTTCTCGTTATTTGTTGTTTTTATTCAACCCAATAATACGAGGTAAGGATTGTCAACGATGTTGAAATTTGAAGTGTGTAGTAGTGATGAAGAAAAGTTATAGAGTCATTAACAGGCATTTGAAATACAAAACAAAACTTACTCCATGATTTCAATTTTTTCTTTTTCAAGTGAAATGCCTTGTATAGCTTTGTTACTGACAAAGACCAGCTGTTTTATTAGCTAGGACCATTTATTAAATGCCCAATGATCAAAGACATACAATCAACTGCACTTGATGAAAAAATGTCAGTCTTTCCTCAACACTGTCAGTAGTTGATGTTATTGATGTCATACTCCGTCAAAGTAACAAGTTGTCCAATATAGTGTGACAAACGACAAATTCTGGAACCAACCGATGTCGATTTGATAAATGGTGATCAGACTTGTTAGCCACAAATATAATTCCGTGATAACTCCCTTCTGGTGATTTCACTTATTTATGTGGTCTCAGTTACTGATTTATATTTGACCTAACACTTTTGGTTTTATATTACCAGGTTAAAAAGAAGGCAACTAGTATTTTATATACATCAGGATATGAACCTTCTTTTACTAAATTCTATTTCAGAAAATTAAGCAAGATGAGTGATGTGTGTGGCTTAATGAACAATTTAAATTTGCAAATAACTACCAGTAGAAAATAATTCAGTATCGAGTTTGAATACAGCAAGTACGGTACCTATACATCTTGTCCTGATTGCATGTCCAGTTATGTTGAAGAATGCTGAGTTAATTATTACTCTCACGTTTTAGGGTAACTTGTAAGAGTTTGTTTTCTGGTACCTATTCATTCTAGGGTACTATAACTATAAATTACAAATACATGAAAATAAATACTGGTACAATAAAAATACTAAAAATATACTTTTTTACTATTTTCTTTATTTTTACTGTACTCTAAATTTTCAATTCAGTAACATAAAAAAAATTCATTTTAAAAATTTAAATGTTTAAAAGTTATTAGTGTCAAGGTTTATTTAAAAAGTTTGAAAATTCAACCTTTTTAAATAAACTTTCAAAAGCTTTTCATACTACTCGGTCCCCTCCACTTGATTCAACCTAACAATAGCTCAACAGCTGAGGTTTTCCAAAATGTCAATCATCTGCAACATGCATTAAGCAAAAATAAGTGAAGGAGGGGGAACTTCCCTTCTAACCTCCATAAAGTTTGTGAAGGGACATGGATCAGCATCACCTTCAGCTGATCCACGAGGGTGAGAAGTCTGTAGGGTAAAATGCTTAATCAATGGTAAAACCTTTCGATATTGTCTTTTTACCCTGAATTGATATCCCTTTTATGAACCAAGCTCAAAGACCAACTGTTATTAATTTGAAGAAAATTAATGTTATTAAAATAACAATAGGTAACAAAACTGACAATTTAAAAGGGAATATTTTTGTGAACCCCTAACCAGGAGGATGGAAATTTTGCTTAGTCTGCAGGTTTGCTGCGGTGGAGGAGTTTTTAATTGATCTTTTTCAGTATTTCAAGGTTTAGTAGCACCTTAGGAATCTCCTGTCTCTTTCATCATTTTACATAACTCAAAGCGAGCAATCTTATTTTAACAGAGACAGGGGACTAATAGGGGCATAGAGGGGGAATTTTACCTCCCTTTCTAACAACATGTGTTAAACAACCATTTCGGACTTTTTAAAGTCAATGGTTTATGATAGGTTACATAAATTCCTTAACACACAACATATGCTTACACAAAATAAAAACACAGATGGATGTGTTGGGTGTAAACAAAATAAATAAGGTAAAACAAAAAAATGGTTAAGTTTAAATTAAGTGATAAGTGAGTTAAGACAATGTATTGACTTGTGAATAATGTATTTTAAAAACTTGTTCACAAGTGGATGGTGTAACTCAAAAAACCTTCTGATTGTGAAACATCTGAAAACTGATTTAGAAACAGAGCCTTCCACAAGAGAAGGTTAAAGATTGGCAACCTTTATCTCTCAACACGGGGAGCTACGAGAGAGTAAGTACTGTAGAACCAGAAGTTAGAGTAAAAACTAAAATACATTATTGTAAATATGTTTTCTTTTTTAAGCTTAGACTAGATGTAGGTCTGTTGTGGTAAGTCTATAAAACATTACAATAAAATAACCCGGTCAATTATTAGGCCTACTCTTGCTACTATAATTAACAATAATGTTAATTTTTTTATGTTGAGTTATGAGAAAAAGAGGTATATTTTTATTCATTTTTCCAAAGGCAAGGACTAGATAATTCAGTTATTTATATTCTTGTTTTGTAGCCTTATTTCTTGCCAAATTCTTGTGCTCTCCAATACGTTTTGCTACGGTGTTTGACATGTTCGGGGAGATTGTATGACAAAATTTCGGGTTGAGAGACAAAATTAGATTTTAAAGTACGTAATTGTCGTCTCACCTGAAATTCTGTCACACCTTAAATTTGTCCAGATAGCTTAGCCTACTATGAGATAGTCCAGGACTCTAACGTGTTCGTTAATTAATTATCGTTTCGAGTTTATTGGCTCAGAATATTAAACACAACAATAATGCTTACAATGTTAAGCTCACCTTTAAAAAGTGCTCATCATAGCCACTCGAAAAATATGTGAAGCTAAATTTAGAATTTTGAATAAATTATCGAGAATGCGGATGACCTAATTAATTAGAAACTTAACTAAAACGTGATTCGGGTGTTATACTTGGTAATCACCAAAGTAAACGTGTCGGGAAAATTAGACTCGGTCGAACACCAGAGTCGATACGGGGTTTCTTAAATCAAATTTAAGTAAGACTGTTCGGGGTAACGGAATAAGTCGTACGTAAACCGTTTTGGCAACTTAAATGATTTCCGAAGCTGGTTTAAGACAAAAGGTAGTGTGCTCGTACGTGAAAAAGTGTGCTGGGTGCGTGCGACTGCGGCACAATAAAGTAAAAATAATAAAACTTCTCTAAAATGAGATTAAACTAAATAAACTTGGTAGCACACTAACCTGATGCCTTAGAATTCTACCAGGAACGGGGGAAATCTTTAATTGACCAGAATTTCGTAAGTTAGGACTGTTGGATTTATCTCCAAACAGCTGGCGTACTGACGGTTCGGTAGCGGGTGGACGACTGACCATGAGGTCTGCTCTTCTGGTCCTTCTTCGCCATCGCCCCTGGCGGCGGGGTAGGTAACTAGCGTCCTCCCCTCTACGATGACGTAGGACCCCTGCCTCTACAATGCCGCTGAGAACGCGGGCGTGGCTTACCCCGAACGTTGAAAATTATAATATCTTAAAATGAAAATCGGGTTTTTACCCCTTGACGGGTTTTGGGCCGTTACAATTGTAGAATGTTAATTTTACATAAACACTATTTAAACAGATTTATTACGGCACATCAATCATTAAGCTCATGACGCAGAATCTTTGCAAAGGTGTGTGCAACTATTTGTACACTTGTAGATGTGTGCACTCTTTTTTATTCACTGACTCACTGTAGGTGGTTGGTGTTGAAGGTTCCCACCCAACAGAACATTGACTCTCAACATTTAATTCCAAGAATTGTAAAACATTTGAAAAAGAGTGGTTTTGAAATGTAAACTAGTTAAATGTGTCGTACAGTAGGTATATTTGAAAGAAAATTTTGAACTACAGTAATTCCTTTTTTGTTAACTATTCTCCTCAGTTCTTCTGAATGTTCGACCTTTTTAATGAACACTCAGCCTTTTTATTGCTAAAACTCCAAATTGAAGTGTGTTGAGTATGTTAAGGGTTTTGAAACAGTCAATTATTGTGGAAGCATTGGTGTCAGCAATTGGAAACGGTTGATCTAAATGTTTTCAATAAATAAAATCAACATTTTAGTCAACATGACAAAGATATAATTGTTTTAAATTTAAATTACAGTGTGGTTCTCATTTACTTTCATTTTTCTTTATTTTTTATCTCAAAAAGTTCAAATTCTCATCATATTTTTCAACAATTGCATTTCTTTATTTATTATTTTAATTTGTCTTGTATTTTCAAGTATCGATGCCTGGTGTGTGGAGAAATCCTTCGAAGCAATCGTCCGGACGCTCTGATACAACACTTACGCCGGAGACACCCGTTTATCAACGTCAGACAACCTTCTCCTACAGCGGTAGGTATTTGTAAAGGGTCTGATTTACACAGTACCAGTATCAGTGTGTAGTGTCATTGACTACGGTATATACTGAAGTAGACGTTTCATCTATATGGACCAGCGTACGTAGTTTGTGTGAGCCAGTCACATAATGCAGTGACAAAAACTCTATTTTCTACCTTATTTTTTGTGACTGGCCAAGTTGATGGGTCATAACAGTTGCTATAGCTCACAATAAGTAATACCATTAGTTTTAATTTGTAAAAAAGATTGTGTATTCAACAGAAATCAGTAATTTAGATCAGCACAATCTGTCAGTGGCTCACATCAAGAAAAATTTACTGCTCTAAAATACCTTTGCAAAATGTGATAAAGAATATGACATGTACATTCATCAAAATAACAATACACTGCAAAGTAAACGGTTGTATTCATGCTTATAAAAATACCAATGTTATTTATTTTAATTTGACGCTGTAACATTTCTTGATGAAATTGTAATAAAGCTATTGTCTATTGTCTATTGTATATTTTTACAATCAGACCAATCTGGATGGATGGCTGGTGCATTCCAACAAGATAATTTCGCATCTAGGAGATTCTTCAGAAGGTAGTAACAAAAACAACTACTTCTACTATGAATAATTTTACTTTCTATTCAATAAGCTCCCTTTTGTAGGATCAACATATAAAATTACATATTTTAAGTACCTTTAACCGTTAATGTACAGGGAGTTTATAGGATGTCTGTTTTTCCTACAGGTAAGAAGACCATGCCCCCCGCCATGTCCACTGCCCCAGGTCCCCCGCAGTTGTCCTTGCCCCCCGATGATGTCTTCACCCCCGAACCCACCACCTTGTGCCCCGTGTCCTCGCCCCTGTATGCCCCCACCACCATGTCCCTGTCCACCCCCACCTTGCCAACCCTGTCCTCTCCAACCTCGCCCCCCACCAGCTCCCAACCCCCCGCCACCATGTCCGGCCCCCTGCGCTGTAAATTGTTGGCCCCCGTCGCAGGGAGATTACTGCAGAGCCATGGAGAAACAGAAGAGGAAGGAGTATCGGACAAAGTACAAATGCACTGGTGAGATTGCATAAATGTTTTGTTTTTCCCTCGTATGCTAGGCTATTGCCCGGTATCATTTTTCGCATTACTTCAGGCTAGACCTAGAGGTTCTGCATTATCACTTATAAAATCCATTGGTGATTTTGTGGGGATTTGAACCTAGGACCTCAGGGTCTGAAATCCTACCAGGGTCCTATCAGTGGCTGTTGAACCGTCTACGTGGTTGGCAAACATCTTTCTTTTAAAGTACCTACATTTTTAAACTAAAACTATAAATTCAATTCTGGACTAAAATCAAAAGTAAAAAGTCTGAAATCTGAAATTCACCCACAAACCTTATTGTATTTTTTTCCAAATGGTACTTTTTACTTCTAACCTTAAAATTTTTTTGCTGAAGGCCATTAAGAATAACCACGATGACTATCACTAACTTTATGAATACCTTTGGTTCCCAAAGAAGATGACACTCTCCAGTGATTCAATCTTAAAATACATATGAAGAAAACTGTACGAAGAGATTACACTGAACAAATTACCTAGTTAATAATCACTATTCTTTGTGAGGGAATTAAGTGTCACCAATTAATGAACACATAACTAAAATCACCTGGAACAATGATGATTTTAATGATGAAATTGATGTTTGTTGACAGTGGAGTCATGGCGGCCGGGTTGTACCAAGGTTGTTTGCCCGTGTTGCGGTTGCGAAGCTCAGCCTGTCATTCGCAGACAACGCAACCAACTCGCCAGCAGCTCTCTGGGTGCCTGCTTGATGCTCGGGTTGGTATAACTGTTACGTTCTAAAACTTAAAACATTTTGGTGCAAATTTTGCAGTTGTAAAACATGTTTTTATGAAAAATCTACTGTTTGTTTGACGTTTGTCTAAACAGCATATTATTGATGAAGGGGAGGCACATGTTGGCCAGCATTTGAATATATTTTTTTAACATTGTCTTTAGGAAATAATTATAAAATATCTTTTATGAACAAGATTCTATGAATGTGTACCTCCTATTAAAGTTTGAACAAAGCTACACAGATCATCTCACTCCATTCTGTACTCATACTTCGCTCATATTTGTGTTCAAAAACACACATACAGTATGTAGGGTCACCAACTCAATGATTGATGATTGATTTTATGCTTTATGTTATTGTTAATACTTTTAGAGGTTTAAATTTGTTAGCCATGTTATGAGGGGAAATGTAAGAGGAATTAATGTAGTTGTTCCTAAAAAATTAAGTTATTCTTCCTGTTTTTGTTCAAATGCAAGTTTCAAACTGTATTACACTGTTTTACCAAATGGTAAGAGCTGGCTGGCTGATCAGTAGGAAAGCAAAACAATGCACGTTGAGTTGTTGTCCAAATTAAATTAAATCATTTGTTGTTAATAAACATGATGCAATAATTTGTTGGGAGGAAAAAGTTCTTTTAGGAATACATTAGAGACAGAAATGGGTACACATCTAACTCACCAAAGAAAAGAATTTCATGGAGTTTAATTGTACAAGAAAAGTTCAAATCAAAAGAATAGCAATTTTTTGCCCCTCCAATTCCTATTGAGATTAATAGGGAAGATGTGCTTCTGAATAAAAGCAATCCTTATTGGAGTGAAAAACAAAACAAGTTGTGAAATGTTTGTGTACTAAACTGCCTGGAACACAGTCACTTTTATAAATGGGCCTGGGACCCAGGGGCGCAAGAGGTTTTAGGTTTGATGGTGGCAAGGAACATAATAAAAATTCCCCCACAATGTAGGTGAAGAGGGCCGCGATTATCTCACAGACCATAGGCACCTCTAATACACAATGCCGGAATATCGATCTGGCAACGCCGCACTCACCCGCCGCCTGGATCCGGCACTCAAGCTAGGCTATAAACATCAATGAGAGTATTGCTGCTCTGTATCAATGAATGAAAATATGTAAATGACATATATAAGTGGATTTTAGGGTACGGTAAAATGGCAAAATTAGAATCTAGCTTGTTTAATTAGTGAAAAAATGCAACATACCACAATATTTCTAGGACTAAAAATAGAAACATAATATTTTTTTGTTGCATTTATCATATTGTAAGTACGATGAGTGTGGAAATGCATATTTCCTACAGTTACCTAACAATCTACATGTTCTCTCACTGATTTGAGAAAGCAAAGTGGCAAATTAGCTCATCAGTGAGACAATGTTAACATTGTCCCACTCGAATTGCTTTGTCTCACTCCAGATTTGCAACGTGAAGGCACGTTTCCTTACCAATTTATTTGTTTTATGGTAACTGTAGGAAAAATATAATGTGCAACTCGAGTGCAAAGTGCAATCGCCTCACTCGAGAAACCATTCCTCCATAGTAAGGATTTCTCTCAAGTGAGGCAATTGCTCACTTTGCTCACTAGTTGCACAAATTTCCTATGTTAATCTGTACTATTATAACAAAATCTAATGGTTTCTGTCTAATTGTATGTTATTCAATATCGTAAAAACTACTAGACCGACTGGGCTTACATTTTACAAAAATATAGCTACTTTACCAAGAATGGTAATAGGACTATTACCACTTCAATATTGATCATTAGAAATAAGACTCCCATTGCAAATGGATTTGAAGAGGCTAACATCTGATCCAACAATTTGTTCAAATAAAATCAATTTTCAAATTTTAAATAGGAGTATTTTAGGTTTTAGCATTAACTATTGGATACAGATGAAGATATCCCATCCATATGGATCAGCTGTCGCCAATTTTTTTACTAAAAACTAATGTAGTTGTGTGAGCCAGTCACAGATTGCTCTAGTGTCTAAAACTCTATTTTGTACCTTATATTTTGTTACTGACATAGTTACTGGGTCATAACAATTGCTATAGCTCATAATAAGTCATTCCATCAGTTTGACTTGGTAAAAACCATCATGTAATTGGCAGAAATCAGCAATTTATATCAGTGCAATCTATGGTGGCTCACATCAACTAAGACAAATTTGATCAAAAACCTGGCGACAACTTTAACATGGGGTGGAATGTCTAGTTTTAGTCAACCTGGAACCAGCTACAACGAAATTTGAAGTTTTCATTTCTTGTTTGACGACATACTGACTAAATAATTTATTTTCTTTGTATAATTACTAAGCAAACGTTTGCCATTTTATACAAAATTGAAGAAGCTAGGCCTCCATATGGCTTTCCACAATATTAATTGATTTTTTATCACAAAAACATTCAGACTGGAGTCTGAGACTCTGATCCTTTTATTGTAAGAGGGTGTATTACATATTATACTAGTGCTTAAAAGAAACACCGGTTTATTTCTTTGAAGTGTTAGTTATTTAAGTTATTTTAATCACTTAACAACAGCGTTTATCAATAAGATACAAAAATAAATTTTTAGGAAAAAGTGAAGGTTTGGCATTCTCACCTAACATTTGCGTCTCGCGTCAATATTTACACGAACCATTGTCTTTATTCTTATATTTGTTTGCAAATCTAAGCTCATATTCTTGAAAATGTTTCACGCAAACACAAGAACTGTTTTAAGGTGTCTAATTTGACTAGAAGACATTGTTGCTTAGAATCTTGAACCATTGTATGTATCATTCAGTTTTAATTGAGCTTTTATAATTACTCTTGCACCCAGATACAACCCATCTATCTGGCATGTTGTTAAATTTTATTAAGTTAAATGTCATTACTAATGATTAAAGGTAGCGCGAATAAGTAAGTCGGTATGCGACTCCTCCATTCACTGTAATGGTAAGACGATCGCGCGTCAAGACTCAGATGCGACGTTGCCAATTATTGCTTGCCACAGGCTTGTGAACTAAAGAAGGCTGTGTACAGACCCATAGCACATCACATCGCAGGCCTGGCCTGGAACTCTTTTCTCCTCCATTCTTTTATAGCATTTGCAGAATAACTTTGACCAATAGTGAACATAACCTAATTTCCCCTTGTTGACAGTTGTTGGCCGTTATCCTTCCTACCGTTCATGCTGTGCGAAAGTACGGTGGTCAACCTGTATTGCGCCCAATGCAACAACTTCCTCGGAGCCTACAACCGCAAGGAGGGTTGCATCGTGGATGTCGAGGCACAACTGTGCAACCCTGGCGTTGTTCCTAACTTCCCCTCCATACCGCACTGATCATTACACTCTGTTACAAATCAGATGTTTAGTAAATTGTTTGTATTTATTTTACAAAAAGATTACTTGGGAATGTTTTAAAGTGATTGTGTGTATTACAATAGTTATTGTTGCAAAGTGTTCATTTATCATAATTTTAAGCTAATTAACAGTATTGTAAAGCAAATATTAAAAGTCTTCTGAGCCTCGACACTCTAGCTCGCAAAACAATTAAAAAAACTCTAAACTCTTTAAACAATTTCTAATCCCACAGTTTACTATATATTTAAATTACAATCACTCTGGTGTTTGAGCAAATATTTTGATATGGTAAATAACTCTTCAGCGGCTTTTTGAAATCAACAAAATTAACACATTACTCTTATGGCGGGCAAATCCAAGTTGGCTGTTAGCTTCCATGGACTCCCTTGGAGAAATATTAAAACAACAAAGAACATTTTTAGTCCCAGTTTACTAGACATTTAAATTATAATCACTTTGATGTTTGAAAAAATATTTTTGGAAGGTAAATAACTCTTTATCAGCTATTTGAAACTATCCAAGATGGCCGCTAGCCTCCAAGGAGTAAACTATATTTTAAGTACCGGTAATTAAATCAAAGAATTGATTCTAGGTATTTTCAACTTTCAGAAGAAAAAAAACTTTCAGAGACAAGAATATATCACATTCAGAACAAAGTTTCATTGTTGAAACATAACACAATAACACTGTTAGGTAAATTTTGAAATGGCTAAAAACCTTCGTCAATAAAGTTATAGTCAATTACTTAGATTTTATACTGCTTTTGAACTTAGTGAGTAAGGATATGTTTCAGCATAAAAAATCCATTGATTAAAAAACAAGTTTTATTTATGAAATTATGTGAAAATCTTAAACTAACATATTGTAGTATTGCAAAAATTAGGAAATGTTTCCCATAAAGCTATCACAATTAGTAGGAATAACTCAATGATATAGTATCTACTAGAGTAGTAGTTTACTACCAAAAGGCATTTAACATTTTTAGGGGCGGTTTGGGAGCTCGGTATTAGCGCTAGTCCCCGACTAAGAACCGGATATTTACAGCATTTATGTTGCCGCCTAGAAAACAGGTTTGTGAGCTTGGGCTCAGTAAGGCGCGCGCCTGACTTGTGCAGGGATAATCTCGCAGGGATTTCTAAAATATTGTTCGTTTGGGAGTCTGGTGGACTCAGGCGCCAGCCTAAGAGATAATTTCGGTGGGTTTGGGAGACCAATTTCAGGACTAAGAAATATATTTTTGTCATAAAAATTAGTGAGTTTAGTCCACAGCTTTAGTACTGCCAGGGAGCAGGTTTAAGTTAACATGGCCGGTGTGACCTCATTAGCATGTTATTATTTATATATTAAATAAAAGAATGTTATATTGGAATTTGTTATTAAATCCTGAACAATTTCATTACTCTTAAAGTATATTTGATAAAAGTTTTTTTTAAGGTTTCTGTTGTTCAAAATAAAACAAAAATCTTGATAAAAGTTATTTTAAGGTTTCTGTTGTTCAAAATAAAACAAAAATCTCGCTTAAATTATTTAATTTCCTTTAAACATGAATAATCATAAGGTTAACATGGGGAAATACAGAGCCATTGGAGCGGAACCCCGAAAGGATTTTTTAAATAAGAATATGCCTATATATTAATAGGGAATGTGCTATCATCATGCCAAATTTCAGCCCAATCCGTCCAGTAATGCATGATTGAACTTCAAACAAACACACAAACTTTCACATTTATAATATTAATAAGATAAGCTAAACATATATAAAATTTGAACAAATAGTGTTTTTGGCGTCTAGGGAGATCAAAATGAAAAAGTATATCGGTCCCGGAACAATGGGCCACCTACGGTAATAGCTACTTCCCTATAAAGAAATTCGCTAAAAGGGTGTCATGTTAAAAATTTTAAGAATTAGTAAAAGTTGTTTTTTTTTTTTTTTGTTATAAATGTTAAAAGATATATTTTACATTTGCCTTGGCTTCACACAATCATAACCTCCATAATTACTTAAAATAATTTTTATTCCCGTCAATACCCCTATATTATACAGGGAAATTACAGTTAAATTTTGAGGCTTTTTAATTATTGCATGACCGAGTTTCAGTGTGTTCCCACACACACAGGGTAATTTTTGATAAATGAATAATGTTTCTGATCTCTGAAAGAGATTATATTGTTTTTCAGAAACCTATGTTGCTCTGTACGTATTTATAAGGGGTAGTACTTAAAGACAACAGATTAAATAATTTTAAACGTAAAATGAAAATTAAATTGACTCTTATAAGAATGTAATATAAAGAATTGCGGTTCTTTAGTCATTGAGATGTAAAACAAGGACCTCGCAAAAACTACATTTTTGCAATTGTACAATGCAGAAACTTCCACCATAGTCTACTAATTAGCCACCATTGATATACCAAGATTAAATTTTATTCATCTTCAATTGAAGGGCTCCCACGAACAACGTTCCAAGCGCCAAATTTTTCAAAGTGGAGATATTGAGCGAACAACGTGCCATACGCCTTCCTCTAACAGTAGGGATATTTTGTTTTGTCATAACTGCAGTGGTACGCCTGCTACCAATGTTTTAGTGGAGCACGTGTTTCCCAGACTCCAGCTACGCCGCACGAACAACGTCTCATTCGCCACATCATGGCTTCAGGGTCAAGCATTTTATTGAGTCCCGGCGACCAATATAAGCTAAATGCCGGTAAAAAACGTAAATTAAAACTTGTTGTATGGAAGGATAAGATTCGCAAGAATTCAAGGGATAGTGGGGAGCCTTACATTTCAAAAAGGAAGAAAGCAGTTCCTGGCAAACTACCACCAAGTGAGGTAAGTGGAACAACGTTTCTATCGCCACCTGATGCTCATGTAGGCCTATAAGAAAGTTTTTTTTAACAATGTTTTTAATCTTATCTTATGTTTTAATGTGCATATCCTGCTAAATACCTAGTTAAAAAAAATATTTTTTTAAAGATGATCGCCTTTTGGCAAAAAAATCATTATTTTTACGGACCCATAATAATTTTGGTAATAGGTTCGTATGAGTTTATAGTACATATTTTCTTCCAATAATAACTGTATCAATGTAAATGTAACGATTTTTGTTTTTGTTTCAGGGCAGAGTATGTTCTTGCCAGTTTCAATGCGATCAGCTAACCTACGAAGAGAAAATGCAGCACTTCACTAATTTCCACAAGCTGGACTACAACAACCAGTCGCAATTCCTGGCCAACGCATGCATTAAGGTGGGAGAAGTGAAACGAAGGAGGGTGAGTGAAGATGTCTCTCAAAGACATTGTACACCTGAATATTACATTCCTCGTAAAGATAGGCTGTTGCGAGTATGCAGGAAAACTCTTTGCAATGTATTTACGATCACACCGCGCCGAGTGCAATGGCTTTTGGGAAAGATCAAGTTTGATCAACCTCTGACTGATGACCGCGGGACTCACAATAACCGCCCACACAAAATACAAGACGACACAAAAGAATTAGTTAAAGAACACATTAAACCTTTCCCATTGCAGGAGAATCATTATTCCCGTAATGACAGCAAAAAACAATGCTTGGACCCCAACTTATCAGTAAAGAAAATGAGGAAACTTTTCCTCATTAAGCACCCAGATGCTAATGTTTCTTTGCATATGTACTGAAACATATTCAAATCTGATTTCAACCTAAGGTTTGGCCTTCCTAGATCTGACACATGCGCATATTGTGATCGCCTCTTCATTAATCTAGTTGCGGCTTCCAATGAAACTGAAAAGCAAGCAATTGAAAGGGAAAGTCAAATACATCATATGAAAGCAGACCTGGCCTACAAATCTTTAGCCGAAGACACAGCAGTAGCCAAAGCGACCCCCAACATAGTTGCTATTTGCGTAGACCTTGAACAGGTTCTTTTTTGCCCATTTCTCACTCATAATAACATATTTTATCAAAGACAACTGTCATGCTACAATGTAGCAATACACAACCTGGGCCTAAATAAAGCAACAATGTTTTTTTGGGATGAAACCGTAGGAAAAAGAGGTTCCGCAGAAATCACCTCGTGTGTCCTCAAGTATGTTAGCTCTAATTTTAGAAAACTAACAGTAGGTGAGACTCGAACACTAGTAATATGGTCGGATAGATGTGTCGGCCAGAACAACAACTGGCGAATGGTAGCTTTAATGCAACATTTAATACAAAGTGACTACTTTACCACGGTAGAACAAAAGTTCCTAACAACAGGGCACAGCTTCCTCCCCTGTGACAGGGATTTCGCTTTGATTGAAAAAGCAAAGAAAGGGGCAAAGGTTTACATTTCTTTTCATTGGGTTAGTGTTATTGCTAACGCAAAAGACTCAAATCCATTTGAAGTTCAAGTTATGGACACAGATGACTTCAAAAACTCTGACCTCGTTTTGAATTCCTTGGCCACAGGAAAATTTGGTATTACGCAACATGTGTGGTATCAGATATCCAAAGATGATCCAGCTACTCTTCGTGCAAGACCTACACACAATGTTCTGCGGCCATGGACTACACACTGCTTGGCAAAAAGAGTTAGGAACTCCAGGGATGGCAGAGTCTACCCGCCAGTAAAGGTTGCAGAGTTTCCAAACTTGTACCCAGGTCGACTAGGGATCAAGACTGATTTGCTGGATATGATGAGATACATACCACAAGAGTTCAGAGAATTTTATGAAAATATCACAGTGGCATAGATGGAGAAAAATGGAAACATTTTTATATATGTTAATTTAAAGATCCGTTGTTTCTTGTGTATTTATCAGTTTTGATTTTGATATTGTTTTCCTTTTCTACTAATAAAATGTACTTGTATTTCATACGTGTTTTTTTTACCTTAGAGCCTATAAAATATCAAGTATAAGTTTTGTTGTTTTCACAAAGGCCAATTTAAATACAGTGGAATTTAAATAATATATGTTCATACAATACTTTAAAAAATAATCGCTAAATTAGTAGTTCTATAAAATACCTGAACACAAAATAAGAATATAGTACCTAGGTTTTCTCTATTAACATGTTCAAGATTTTAAATGGTATTTTTTTTACTATGAGGTCAACATAGTCTCTTGGTTGTTGTGGAACACTGATTAACATAATATTTAGAATTTTTAAAGTTTTAAGTTTTGACATAGCACAAACTTAATGAACACTCTTAAGGTCTAACGCACGCAAAGCTAGCAATAGTTAAAAGTCCAGTACAGAACAGGTATGTATGTGTGGAGATCAGGAAGATTATGGGCATGATGGTGGCTAATGGTGAAGCAGTGATGAATAGTGGAGGAATGTAGAGGGGTTGTGGGGGGTTGGGGAGGTAAATGACCTTAATCTGGGCCGGGTGAGAGCGTGACTATGACGTCACGTTGTCTGCCACTGTCCGTATAAAGTCATCGCAGTGATGCTGCCTAAGTTTCAAAGCATTGACCTTTATAAATAAAATTGTTAATATTTTGATGATATCAAAACATCGCATTAACAAAAACTATATTGGAATTAACCACATTGTGTTTTAAGAATACTTATATAGGACATTATTCTGGGGACTATTAAAAGAAATTCGAATTTATTAAGCTAAATAATGATATATTAAATTATAAAACGTCAACCCCTTTAAGGAGTTACTTAATACATAAACAAGCAATTTTCACCTCGAAAAATAAAAAAAATATAACTATTTGGGAAACAACGTTTCAAGCGCCTGTCGCTTGAAACGTTGTTTCCACAAAAAAAGTTATAAAACAACAATATGAAATAAAAACTTAAGTTGTTCATTATATTTAGACGTTTTAGACTCATACCAAAAATTTCAGGCAAAAAAAACCAAAAAGTATGTATTCTAAAAAAGTTTTGCATAAAACACTTTGTGGCGTGATTACTCAAAACAAGTAGCTCGGCGCTTGGAACGTTGTTCGTGGGAGCCCTTCAACTGTTCATCTTTTGTTGTTGTCTGCAGTGGCCGCTGCCAACGTCAAAACCTAAATTCCCCGCGATTCCCCGTCTATCTAGTCACGACTATACTTGCTCTACAACCATTACAACTTAGCTGCAAGCTCCCAAGCCTGGTTTTTGATCCGGGTACTAAAGTTAGGCGCGTCTAACACTAGGCGCGTACTAGCTTGACTCGAGCTCCCAAACCGCCTCTTACTTTTTAAACACTGAAAATAAAAGTAATAGGCTAGCTGTAGTAAATAATGGTGTACTACAATGATCGTTTTAAATTGTAAATTTAAACAATAAAAATAATTACAAAAGCACAAACAAAATTTCAAACAAAGAATTACATTTTAACAGGAACAAAATATTACAAAACCTGAATAATATAAAAAACTATGAACTAATAAATATACCTTGGTGGGAAAAACTCATTCCTAAAACAATTTAATATGGCCCCTTTTACAATTACAACTAATAACTCGTAATATTTCATGAATTTAACTTAGAATCATAAAGCCTTGTGGTCACAGGAGATATGTAGGCTAATAATATGTATCCAAGAAAATATGAATTTGTTAAATGGCTAATCTCTAAACAAAACCTAATACATAACGAAGACCAATGGGTAAAATTCATATCCCCAACAGTTTACTGTAGCCCCTTTTACTATTGTAAAAAGTAATACGTAGTTCTGAATCTGAATTGTTTTTTTTCCCCTGAAAAGAGGTTAGCGACCTCTTTCAACAAGTAGCAAAAATAATAGTATTATTTCACAAGGCTAAGGGAACATTCCTGACTATTATTGCACGGTAATGGTATTTCCCATATCTACTGAAACAGTTTGTTGGATACTGTTACAAGTCTACAATACCAGTTATATATTATTACCATCAATATATTGTTTGTACTGCTTACCAAGACATGGAAGGAGAGCTGACAAGATAAAAAACTCTTAAATATAGCCGACTAAAACAATACAAAATTGCAAATACAATAATTGTACTTTTTGTAATTTCTTATTGACATGAGTGACGAATTTCTCTAACGATTATTGTTTGAATGAAGCTGAGTTTATTTTCCAAGTAGTCAGGAGTAGCAAAAAAAAGGGTTTTTTTAGAGCAACCGTGTGTTTAACCGTGTGTCAAAACACTTGGATTATAGCACAACATTTTGTTAGATAATGTAGTCCTATTTTTATGTCCACCAGGATGGTCGATAACCTGAATCAGATAATCAAGACTACTGCACTTCACATTCAGTATAACTGTGCAACAACTTTATACAATTGAAAAAACGTAACTATTATCTCATTTTAATTACATTTCTTTCATGTTTATTTCTTTCCGTTGAAGATGTTTCTTTTTCGGGCTTTCAATTGTTGGATCAGCACCGGTGTGATGTTGTTTTCCTCGTCTAACATCTGCTGAAACACCTCTCGTGTTCTTTTCATCTGCCGTCCTGAATACCAGAGTCCACCTGATTTGTAACAAATGAACAACGGAGCATCACATAGTGGTCTAGGAGGACTGGTTGTTGGAACTGAATCATTGGAATTTTCATTAATTTCTTTACCTTCCGTTTTCAAACTCATACCTGGTAACTTTTTTAGTAAATAATCCACATCATTAATATCAGGTTTCTCTTCATAGGTTTCCATCGTGGAAAGACTCATTTCATCTTTCTTTCCCTTGGGTTTGCTATTAACGTCTTTTTTAAGTCTGTTAGGACTTAACTCGCCAAATAGAACACGCTTTGGTTCAAACGTTTTCAGGCGTTTGGACGGTTTTTGTATCATTGAGAGTTTACATTTCTTCATGTTTTCATTGAGATCTAATTTACTAATTGAATCAATATCTGGGATAGTAGAAATGTTATTGTTCATCGAAACAACCTTTTCCGCATCTTTCAAATCTAATTGAGGTGAAAATTCGTCAGGTGAACTGTTTTCATTCATTATGTTTGAGTGCCTGATAAAATAATGACGAAGCAGTGCTGCTGGCTTTAGAACCATGTTACACTTATCACAAACGATAAGATTTAATGGTTCAGCATCGACAACTATACCAAACATATCCTTGTCTTCCTTATGTAGTTTGTTTATCTTACTATCAAGCATACTCATCTGCTCTTTTCTTTTCTCCAAATAATCTTCCCATACACCCCACGGTAGTCCAGCAAGCTTTGATGGATCCATCTTCAATATTAATATCTTGAGTACTTCACTTGCTTGTCAATCTGAAAAACATCAAAGAGAATAAATTACTATGATATAATCATTTTACCTACCATTGAATATGTAATGATAATAGTAAGTCTCAATTAATATTGCTAACCTACGTCAGAAGGATCTTTTTGACAATTTTGACTTCATACAGGAGTAAGGGGAAACTATTTAAGTTATTTGTTACAACCAACCTTCCCGGAAATGTAGAACATGTTTTGACAATGATCCTATTTTGTACCCTTTCTATTATTGAAAAGATATGTGACAACATTTGCAGTAAAACTTCTTTCAGCTGCACCTCCTTAAACTAAAACTGGAATAGCCAAAACTATCATAAGAAATCAAAATCAATTGAAAAAAGAGCAGGGAATTATCTGCTGTGATGCAGGTAAATGCAATGGAGCAGATGACATGGATCTCATACCAAGATAGCCAACGGTTCAGAAAGCAACTGTCAATTATTTAAAGAAATAGATTTTGTGTGTATACTTGGTTGAAGATTTTTAACACAACAGCAATTTAAATCAAATAAAACACAGCTGTTGTAGATCTCTTGAATGTACATAGCTTTTAAATTTCAACAATTGATTTACCAAAAAATAAGGCGTCAATAACAGCTTTGTCCTTCAGATAATCTGGGTTTTTCCTGAATTCATTTATTCACAGGCCTACAAGTATGTATGATGAACTCACTGTTACACTTGTTGTGTGTATGATCCCAACTGTGTATGGCAGGCGGAACACTTGTGAATGTAGACGACTCGGCTAACAGGAGAGTTCTGTACTCCAGAAGGGGCTGCGTTGGTCACTGCACTACACATCCCGCATACAATGCTGCAATCATTGCACATGACTTTAAAGTTTTTCAATCAAGAAATAATATAAGGCAACTCAATCTACAATTTAAAAAATACCTGTACAATTTTCCCACGATAAAACGACACTTTGTAATCCAACATTTGGTTAGTAGACTCGCGACCAGCAAAACAAAACAAGTCTGCTGCAAAATCAATATCCCACTTTTCTTTATCTTATAGACTATGTACCATCATTGTATAACCCAGCTTTTATAAATTACAGGTATTGTTTTTTACATATTTTGCTTACTCCATTGTATTTTTATACCGCATCTGATGCTTAATAGTAGGTTTTTACAGTTTGAAATTGGACCCAGTAACCCAGTTGTCCCTAATCGTTGGATTTTAAATAAATAATCCTGGCTAATGAAACAAATGGAACAAAAATAAACATCCTAGCTTTTGCGGACGATGTAGTAATTCTGTCCAAAAACAGAAATGACCTAGAGGAGCTAACCAGACTGTTCATAAAAAAAATCAGAAAAAATGGGCCTAAAGATTAATGATGAGAAGACAAAATATATACACTTCACGAGACAGCCAAATGAAGTGAGGACAAATGAAATTAGTATAGATGGACATACTTTTGAAGTTGTTGAACAATTTAAATATCTAGGGGTAATTATATCAAGCAGCAATAGTGAAGAAATGGAAATAAATTATAGGATTGCTCAGGCCAATAAATGTATGTATTCTTGTAAGAAATTGTTGACTTCAAAGATTCTCTCACATAAAACGAAAATAAAAATATATCATAGTATAATTCGACCAGTATTAACATATGGAGCTGAAACTTGGATTTTAAATAAAAAAGAAGAAAACAAAATGATTGTTTTTGAAAACAAAATTTTAAGAATGGTATATGGACCAATACAAGAAAATGGGGAATGGAGAAAAAGGCATAATAGGGAGATAAGGAATATGTACAATGATTATGATGTAGTAGCACACGTGAAAGCAAGGAGAATAAGGTGGGCAGGACACGCACTACGGAGAGAACGAGGTTCACTACTAAAAGAAGCAAGTATAGGAAAGCCAGAAGGGAAACGACCATTAGGAAGGCCCAAGAAGAGATGGTGGGATAGTGTTTCCAGGGACGTCAGAGAAGTGGGGGCAGAAGTGGAAGAGGCAGAAGATCGAGAGAGATGGAAAGCAGTTGTTGGTGCGGCCAAATCCCGCCTTGGGCATAAATGGCCATGGGAGTGAGTGAGTGTGGCTAATGAAACAGCTGATCTTGGTCAGTAACAAAGCCACACAGATCATCTCACTTCATTCTACACTCATTCTTCACTCATATTTGGGTTAAAGTACACACTTAGGTGACACCCTCATCTCAATTGATACTGTTAAGTATTAGTTAGGCTAAAAATACTGTGTAAAAAGATAATGTCAACTTTTATATTAATTGAATGTATTAAGAAAAAACCAAACTTGATAAACATTTTCAGTAAGTAACAGATATTCCGACACCCTGGTGGTTCCTTACCTGGTCAGATTAGCGAGGGACAAGCCGACTTAGTGTTTAAACTTCTCTAAAAGATTAAAATCAAACCTGTTCTGAGGCCAGTCACACACTACATCAAACACAACAATGTGTCATTTGATTGACTTGATGCTATTCAGTTGGATGGTCATTAAAAATTTTTACTTACATACATTACAGAACATTTTATGTGGGGTGAAAAGCGTGATTATATGTATAATTAAGAGGGCAAGTGCAAAGGGATTTTTCTGATTTCCATAGCATTAGACATAAAAAGAAATCAATTATTCTGTGACTTGTTCTTTTTAATTTTCATACAGAAACTGAACTGTAGGCTTAAATATTCCGCTTCTGTCAAAATGTAGCCTATTGTCATAGGCTCCCAAAAGTTGTGGTTCATGGTATGATAGGGAGTGTGCGGTATGGTGGTGAGTTACGTGTTGTAGCAAACACTGCAGAACACTAAAGAGGGAAATTTGCACTTGGTGAACCTCTAAAGAGAATATTTAAATATGTTCAACCAAACTCCTCAAACATATTTTTTATGGTTACCAATTTGATGTTTTTATTTTGATTATTTTTATCATATTTTTCGCTAAAAAAAATGTACGAGTCAAAATCCAATCACCTGTCCTAAAATCCATTACCATGAAGAATAACAACCAACATGCTAACCACCTTTTATCTTATTTATTTTTATTGCTAAAACAATCAGCCCACTAAATAACAAGACTATACTCTAGTAATAGCCGGAGATAAGGGTGTTAAAAAGTCCTTAATCCCACATAGATGCTGCACTACTGTTTGGAATGTGCTGAAGAACACCTCACCAAAGCGAACATGCTACATCAATTGTTCATACCAAAATAAACAAGACACGAGACTATTAAATAATCCCCCACAGGATCGGTCATCTTCAACTACTGTCAAATTTGATTTTCCACATTGATGACAGTAAGCAATAACAGGATCCCTCTTGAACTCTGGCTCATTTGCTGCAATTTCCATTACATTCTTGATTAAAATTTAATAATTATTCTAACAGTATGCTGATAGAAACCTGTAACTTAGGTGACCAGACAATAAAACCTAGCTGGAAAATCTCAGAGAAGAATGATTTTTTAGATAGTAAGTTAGAAAACTCAAATTTATCAATACAGAGCTTAGACTCCAGCATTGAGGAATGACATGGAAAAACATAACATTTTTTTAGCTCACTCTGGCCTGAAAAAAAGGATAAGTTTATGAGCAGTCTCAAAAGTAGGCTTACTTTTAGCATGAATTTCCATAGGTAAGTAGCCTAACACCGTAGGTGGCACTGTCAAACCTAGACCCAAATCCTATAGCCTATCCTTTTTTTTTTTATTTTTATGTCATCAGAAGAAACAAACACTTTTCGTCCTAATCTTTTTTTGCAAAACGTAACAGATTTTGACCATCAATTGGTAAAAATATTTTGTTGACATACCAATTTTTCAGTGTATTGCGGTTTTGCTTTGGTTTTGCTTGGTCCAAAACGCTAAGATTCTGTTCCACAGTAACAACGTTCTGTTTTCATTTTACCGATGCTATTTTGTTGTTGGCAATAAGCAATATTTTTTGGGATAAATTCAAAAAACTTATTCCTAGTCATATCCTGTGGAGATAAACGTATGTTTCCTATCGCTGAGCGTGGGAACAAAAATGTCGAGATTCCTAGACACCGGTAGTTAAACCGAACTGCTCTCAAAGCAAGGCCGGTTAAAACAAACTGTAATATTTTACAATCGAGGGCGGATGATCCGATTATCGGTTAATGCAAGGTTGGTTATGAGCAAGGCTACTGAAAAAGAGGTTGCCTCAGTCGTGTAAATGATGTCATCCGCCAACCCACTGGTTCTGCTTTTAATTCACACAGCTGCCACCTGTCAAATTCTTAGTTATTGTTGTTTGTTTTTCATTTAATTATTTTCACAGAGCTTACACAAAAACAAACAACAATAACAACGAATTTGACAGGTGGCTGTGTGAATTAAAAGCAACACCGACCGGGGCGGCAGGTGACGTCAAACGCGTGACTGAGGCAACCTCTTTTTCAGTAGCTTGGGTTAAGAGGGAGTCTACTGTAATTAGTTAGACAGCTAGGTTTAATATAATGATAGATGCTGAAAGGAATCTAGGTTACCGGGTTTAAATGTGACTTGTTAGGTTTATGGGGATATTGGGCCTAAGACAACTTTGCACTCTTCATTATGAAAAAAATAATGGAGTAATATTTTCCTACAGTTACCTAAAGTGGGCTTCCTTCATACAGACTTCAAAATACAGACTTCAAAATACAGCATTCAAAATAGCTAATTGCTGCATTTACTTACTTTAACTGCACTCCTTTTGTTTGCTACACTCCAGTATTCCAATCAAACAACACAAAACAATCTGCTTTTAGGCACGTACAAGTTACAACATTGAAAATAAGTTGGCAACACTTAACTTAAAGATACCGGTACTTTACTAGGACTACGATCAGCTGGTACAGTGTTTGTTTCCCATGTTGTTAAAAGCTCGAAACGGCACACGGAAGATTTCTCAGGTGCCGTTTGACGTCACTAACTGCTGACGTCACTTTGAGGGAACACCAATACCGCAACGATACGGATTTGAGCCATCGGCCTCGGTGGTGCAGTGGATAGCGATGCGGGCTGATAGTCCGAATGTTTCGGGTTCGGATCCCGCAGGCGGCACTAACTTTTTATCAACAATTTTTTCATATCAGCAAGTTTGGTTGGTTTGGTTAGGTTATGACAGTTTAATTTTATAATTAAAAAATTATAAAATTGAATTTTAGGCAATTATTATTTTAATTTTATGAACAAAACTATTTTTTAGATTAGTAAACCTTTATTCGATTTTTCCATTATCAGCACGTTTGGTTAGTTTGGTTAGGTTATGACAGTTTAATTTAATAATAGAAAATTATAAAATTGTCTGTTTCTTCAGACGAAGCAGTTAGTGACGTCAAACGGCACCTGAGAAATTTTCCGTGTGCCCCACCGGTTAAAAGCTTGGATTTAACCTAACCTAAAAAAGTGTTGTAGCCTATATACTGTTTGAAAAACAAACTTAACGAGCTGTTGGCCCATCCTACATATGGGAATCGAGTAGTCCATTAAAACTGTATCTAGTCTATTCCTATTTCTATTCCTAATTCAAGCATAGTTTAAGCAGTTCAAAATTTATTGTAAAAAAGACTGCCAAAATGAATTATAACATGTGATCATTGTTATTTCCCAACTAGTATTAATGCGTGATTGCGAGATGTTCCAATCAAAACGTTTCGATTGTTTGAACCTCTCGAGACGTTTCAATTATATTTTTGCTTAGCGAGAGGATCTTACCGAGAGGTTTTATCGAGATGTTCGTGACGATTGTTTCGTTTCAGCACGGCTTCTCTTCTCTTGTATCTTGCATTCGTCTAGAGTACCGAGAGGTTTTAACGAGATGTTCGTGACGAGTGTTTAGTTTCAGCACGGCTTCTCTTCTCTCGTGTCTCGCATTCATCTAGAGAACCGAGAGGCAAGAAGTCCTTACCAAGAGTCTTTTTAACGAGATGTTCATGGTGATTGTTCTGTTAAGTGCGGTATCGTCATTTATTATCATATAATTTCTATTGTATGTGCAAACCTTTATTTATTAGAAGTAAGATCATGTCTGTGATAATCCTGTTTATATTTTTGTGTTTGTTGTATGTAAAAAAGAAGTTAAATGTAGGCTTATATGTACACAGATATCGAACATTCGCCAATGTAACACCAGAAACCAGTTCATGTTAGATATACCATACAGTAGGCTACCTAAGTAAGTGTAAAAACAGTTTTGCGATTATTGGTCTAAAAATGTTTAATAGGTTGCACACTGAAAGCAAATCTTTAAAATTTAAGTTATTCAAACTTGGACTCCATGACTGGCTAGGCCTGAATCCTTTCTATGACTTGTCAGAATATTTTTCTATTAAGTCTGTACACTTTTGATGTTCCGATTGACAAATAGTAGGCCTATTGTATTTTTAACTTTGTATTGATCATTTGTAACGATCATATTGATGTTGACTATTACATTGAATATTGTGTTTAAAGACAATAAAGATAAAGATTCTGATTCTGTATCTGCCGGGTATTGACCCCAAATAAGAGGTGTATCTTACTTCAAAACCAAGGAAAGTTTATGGATATATTACTTACTTTATCTACGGAATATTGACTTAATACCACTCAATAAAACTATTGACAAGATGATATATTTTACAAACAAAATGTTTGTATTTAAATCAAAATGTTTATAACGAGACAGAAGGTTCTCATTTAAATTGTTAGGTAGGCTATGTTAACAGTATTATTTACAATTAGGCCTAAACCCATTACTTCAAAATAATTTTCTATTTCTGTTGCCAATACGGAGTGACGTAAGTGCTTATTCATATGTCAACAGTATGTTGTGCATAATAGTCTACTATTCTAAAAGAATCTAGAAAAAGAACTAACATCCTTGTAACAACTCTCATGAAATGTAGGCAGATGCAAACAGACATTTAGGTTTAACGAATGCAACAATCGAGAGAAACATCTCGATTGTACAAACCTCTCGCTAAGCAATCGAAACAATCGATAAGCTGAACATCTCGAGAAGGAACATTTTGATTGTTCAAACATCTCGCAATCGCGCATCACTATTCCCAACCTTTCCTAAAAAAGTTGAGTACCTAGCAAAAAAAATTCATAAGCTTTCATTTGAAAGCTCGCGAGCTTCGATCTTATAAGTAGAGCAATTGTTATAGGATCTTACTCATTTCCTAAAATCAATGACAAAATCACATTAGTAAATAAAACTAACATCATCTAATATATAAAATTCTCGTGTCACAGTGTTTGTCTGCAAACTCCTCCGGAACGACTTCACCGATCGTTATGAAATTTGGTGTGTAAATTCTGTAGGTATGCGAATCGGACGTAAACTATTTCCCGTTTCGAAATTCTTAAAAGGGCTCCGCCCCAGTGGCTCTGGAGTTTCCCATGTTAACCTTATGAGAAATGGAATTAATGAATCTTAACAGCTGTTTCAATTAAACAAGTTGGTTCTGTTCTATGATGTTCAATAGCATTAAAGTTACAAGGATTACCAACAGGGTGCAGTACTATTATTTCTTTTACATTTATGACAACAGCTAATTTGCAACCAAAAGGTGAGTGAGCGTAGCGAACGAACTTCAACCTGGAGGCGAGTGAGCGTAGCGAACGAGCTAACCTGAAGGCAAGTGAGCGCAGCGAACGAGCTCCAACCTAAAGGTGAGTGAGCGTAGCAAACGAGCTCCAACCCAAAGGTGAGTGAGCGTAGCGAACGAACTTCAACCAGGACGTGATTGAGCGATGCGAACGAGATCATATTGAAAATTAAACGTAACGGTACTTTCTTTCCATCGGTCTGTCTTAGGGGAAACCTATAACTTAGGCGATACGAAGTTCGCCGGGTCAGCTAGTAGTTCTATAGAATATGAAATATTTTTATATTCAACCAGCTGTTAGCTAAGCTTATAACAAATTATATTGCACTAAAACAAACTAAAGATTTTAAAGACTGCTCAAAAAAATAAATTAGAACATCTAACTTAGTATTTTACTATGTATTGTTAAATAATCTGTCATCCTCTTACCGAATAAATGAACGTATCAATGATTATAGCATTACACATAAATAAGTCAACCATACGTATGCAATTTCATTTTTATCCAAATGCTGAATTTGTGTCACAAACGCTGAATGTTTACAGCTGTTACGTTAAGCAAATGGTATTATAGCAAAAGCTAGTCTAGAATGTTTACGTCGGCAGCTAGACTTTACAAAAATTAAAACTTAATTTCTAAAAAAATGAAAACCTGAACTAAAATTATGGATTCGACATTCCCTAGTTTTCAAAATTATCGGTAATACTGAACTTATACTACTTATGTTAAATTGCAGTTTTTTTGCGTTATCTACCTAAATTAGACTATTTTAAGCACTTTTTACCATTGGCACTTATGGGGAAACGCCTATTTCACCCTGAAAATCGTGTTTGAAAATCAAGAAAAATGCTAGAAATAGGCAATTTTAGACGCATGAAAAACTTTTTGGGTACAGTTTCTTAACTGGACTAACTTATGCTAAGTTAATATCGATTGAAAATATTGTTTAATAATCAATAAGTTATTACCAGGTGTATCAGTTATAAAATTAAACTGTCATAACCTAACCTAACCAACCAAACTTGCTGATAGTAAACATCGATTGAAGGTTTAACTTACTAATAATCGGTATTAGCATAGCTAACTTAAGTTAAGAAACTGTACCAAACTTATTTTTACTTTGTGTCAATAACGTAATACTAACCTAACCTAACTTAACCAGTGTTTACCGAAAATTGGTCATTTTGGCACATTATTTACCTAAGCATGGGTTAGGTTGGGTTGGGTTGGGTTGGGTTTAGGTTAGGTTAGGTTAGGTTAGGTTAGGTTAGTTTATTTTATTATATATTTAATTTGGGTTGGTTTACCCAAAAATGGGTCATTTTTGGCAAGTTATACTATTTTTACGATTTTTCAAACCTGGTTTCCTGGGTAAAAACGGCATTTGCCAAAAAAGTGTTTAAAATAGACTAAATAATTAAAAAAAAAACACACCCTAAGTTAAAAAGAAAATTTTCAAGCCCAAAAATCATTGATTTCTAGCATTTTTCTTGATTTTCAAACGCGATTTTCAGGGTGAAATAGGCGTTTCCCCCAAAAGTGCCAATGGTAAAAAGTTCTTAAAATATTCTAATTTAGGTAGGGTAGATAAGGCAAAAAAAATGCAAAATAACATAAGTAGTATAAGTTCAGTATTACCAAATTATCTTTCTTTCAACACAAATATCGTGAAAATCCGTCAAGTGGTTGATTCAGAATCGTGAAATAAAAAACCCCTCTCACGTTTTAATAAATATGATGATTAGTTATGCTTTATAGTAAGTAACTTAACTGTAGGAAAAAAAACAATGTGTAATGCAAGTGCAAAGAACCTTTGCTCTTTGCTGCACTCGAGAAACTTTCCACATTTCTTTCATGTGCAGAAAAGTGCCACTTTGCACACTTAAAACACAAATAACGCATAAAGCTGGGCTACAAACAATCGACTGAAAATATCAATCTGATTAACTTAGTAGTTTAGGTCTTCAATTGATTTTTACATAATCAGCAAGTCTGGTAAGGTTAGGTTTAACATTTTCTAATAATTGATAGACTAGGTATAGTTAAATATGGGTACACTTCCGTAACTTGTATTGCTGGCCGTATTGCGGAAAAATACGTCCGTGAGAAATATTAACGATGATGTCAACAGATAGAGGACACTTCAACGGACACGACAGTATCAAAATCATGTACCTAGGGGATAAGTGAGGGGGGGTAAAACCAGCAATAAGTAGTGCGCGCGCCCGATAAAATCTATTGCCGGCCGTATTGCGGAAAAGTCCGCAAGCAATATTAACGATGATGCCAACAGATAGAGGACACTTTAACGGACACGACAGTATCAATATCATGTACCTGGGGGATAAGGAAGGGGGGGTTAAGCCAGCAATAATTAGAGGGCGCGCCCGAATAAAATCTATTGCTGGCCGTTTTCGGGAAAATACGACCGCGTACCATATTACCGATGATGTCACCAGATAGAGGACACTTTAACGGACACGACAGTATCAATATCATGTGTCGTGTCCGTTGAAGTGTCCTCTATCCGTTGACATCATCGTTAATATTGCTCGCGGACGTATTTTTCCGCAATACGGCCGGCAATAGATTTTAACGGGCACGCGCACTACTTATTGCTGATTTTACCCCCCCTAACTTATCCCCCAGGTACATGATGTTGATACTGTCATGTCCGTTAAAGTGTCCTCTATCTGTTGGCATCATCGTTAATATTGCTTGCGGACGTATTTTTCCGCAATACGGCCGGCAATAGATTTTATCGGGCGCGCACACTACTTATTGCTGGTTTTACCCCCCCTAACTTATCCCCCAGGTACATGATGTTGATACTGTCGTGTCCGTTTAAGTGTCCTCTATCTGTTGGCATCATTGTTAATATTGCTCGCGGACGTATTTTTCCGCAAAACGGCCAGCAATAGATTTTTAAAGGCGCGTGCACTAGTTATTGCCAAGTTATTGCCAGGTTCACACAAGTGACACAACTAACTTACACACAAAATTATATCCCTACGATCCCTGCAAAAACCAAAAATAGTTAGGCTAACTTATACTTTACCACTCTGTTGAGCACTAGGTGACGTTTCTTCTGCACTCATCATATAAATTAGGCTCTGCTCAGTCCACGATTATTAGGTCCATGGTTATTTGCATAGTGATTAGTAAACAATGTTTGGAAAATATTTGCCACAAAAGTTAATCGTTAGCTATTAGTTTATAATCGATTGATTTGATTATAAAATAATAATTCAAAGGTGAATAGACACCCTAACCAAAACCATGCCAAAACCAACCATACTAAATTTTCATGTTCATCCTTTCCTTTTCCTTTGTTTGTTGTTACTTGTTATACTCGTTAGTTTAGTTGTTACAAATGTTTGTTTGTTTAGGTTAGGGCCACTGAGCTAAAATTATAACTGGAGGTAGCACTGCCATGGCAGAAGTCTGTCAAAAGCGTGTCGCTGATTTTGTTAGGTTGGTATAGCAGTAGGTTTTCTTATCTTAGCAATAACATGGCTTCTTATAACTAGGTTGGTATAGCAGTGAGTTTTTTGGTCATAGCAATAACATGGCTTCTTATGACACCTGCCTCACGCAAACATGGCGGCTGGTGACACGCATCTTTGACAATCAGTGCTACCTCCTGTTAGAATTATAGCCCAGTGGTTAGGGCCAGGGCTGGTTGGGTTTTGGGTTATATGTTTGTTTTGTTATGAGCATCCAGCATCTTATTTAGGATCATCTAAATATAGAAGTACTGCGCATGTGCACAAGCAGAAGTGTCTGTTTGTAGAAATGCGAGGTAAACGCTTCGGTTACTTTTAATATAACGGTTGTGAAACGTCACAGTCACACTTGTTGTGCTTGTTCCAGTTACAAAACGAAAGGCGGGCCTCTTGGCCCGTGGCTTTATTTTTATAAGTACCAGCTCAGGAGAGTAGAACCATAGATCAAACATACTTAGATAGATAGATTAAACATGGCGACTAGTTTCGAAACATCAAGGTTTCATTGTCAAGCCTCTTGCCTCTTAAAAATATTGTGACATCTTGTCGTCGTCATTACACATAGTACATTTAACGATTTAACATATAAACACGAACACGGACACAAACTATTTACAAAAATGAGTGCGTGGCTGGCCATAAGTACCACGGTGATGGACATGATGCAACTAACCGACTCCTGTCTGTTGACATTGACCTTATACACTAATGTCCCAATACAGGAAACGCTAGAGTTAGAGAAAACCTGTCTACTAACTCCCAACTGAGTATTGACGCTATTAATGAATTAATATACCTATTGAAAACAACACTAGACCAGAACTACTTTACATTTAACGGGAAGTATTACCTACAAGAAGAAGGACTCTCCATTATCGAGTGTGCTCTCCGAAATATACCTCATAATAGTTTTGAAAACAAAAACATCATCTCCGGCAACAATACATTTTCTAAGAAAATAATGTCCTATAAAAGATATGTCGATGACACATTTTTGATCTTTAATGACAATCTAAGGCAACTACAACTTTTAAATAATTACTTGAACAATATTACTAAGAACATCAAATTCACGCTCGAAGTCGAAAATAATAATTCAATTAACTTCCTGGATCTTAAAATGACCAAAAACAACAACAACATCACCTACAAAATTTACAGAAAGCCTACAACAACAGACCATACTATCCACGCTTCATCTAATCATCCACAATCCCATAAGATGGCCGCTTACAATAGTTTTGTTAACAGGCTTCTAAAAATACCCATGTCCCAAGCTGACTACAATGACGAATATACATTATTAAAGTGCAAAGCTGTCAACAATGGTTATAACAGTAACATTATCGATATAATATCATCCGTAAACAATAAATCAGAAAGCAAATAAAATACCCCCGCCGCAGCAAACCTGCAGACTAAGCGAATTTCAACTCGTCTGATTACATTTTTACTAAAATATTTCCGTAAATTAGACATATTATTCCCTATTTAAATAACATTAGATTTAACGAGTGCTTAGGTTTGCTGCTACGGGGAAGGTAAAAAGTGTTTTTTGACCATACGTCAATAGTATAGGATGAAATAAATAAATTTGCCAAATTTTATCAATATATACCCATAAACAAGTAAACTACAACAATTTTCATTTTCTCCATAAGAATAACATGGGAATTTTTAATTACACTATTTTTGAATTTTCTCCGTGACCGTTAGGCATACAACAGCGCTTCAATATACTACATTATTTCTGTTTTTAAGCTCTACAAAACGAAACGGTTTAGAAAGAAATCGCAAATTTTTTTGTTTTTAGGTTGAAAAATGGGAAAAACCCATTTTTACCCCATAAAACCCCCCATAAACCCCCGTTCCCATGGTCCGATTATGCTGGATCGCGAACTCGTTCGAATAAACGTAGGTTTACACGTTTGTACCAAATTTCATCAAAATCGGATCATTTTTGCTCGAGTTATCGCGCTAACGGACACACACATATATATATATATATTGCGAGTCCCATGCCTCACTTTAAGTTTAAGTTTCCTAAAATGATTCACTCGCTTAGCTTAGTCAAGAGGTGTTAGGTTAATGAGACATAAGACTGCTTAAGGGTGTTACTCAACGTGTAATGAACAAAAATTTAAATTACGAAAACAACAAAAGTTAAAAGTGTTACAACAGCAAAAGAAAACTTTGAAAATGCAAAAAACAACAATAATAAGATAAATTAATTTGCAACGTTAAATTTACAAGAAAAGAAAATCAATTGAAAATATAAAAGAATTAGTTACTGACAAATTATTATGACTTTTATGTTTGACAAAGTTTTAGTTAGATATTTTATTCTTTCTACATACTGTCTATTGTCCCAGAAGCACACACACCGATACACGCACTCCCAAACTCCCGATCTTCTTTCTCCGGTGGCCCGTGGTGATCTCCTCGATGTTTTCCTTCAGATCCTCCAGCTCCAAGAGTCTTGACCCCTCCATCTTCATCATTAGCCCTTCTCATTGGCTGATTACCGATAGGGTGTGTGGCTAATAGGTTAACGGTGTTTCTTGGAAGTCAGCCCTACCGGTCATCGCCTAGCTCACATCAGCTGGGAAAGGAATTTGTAAATCGATGCTCATGCTACTGTTCAACTCTGTTCACACCAACTGGTCGACTAAGTGTAATGTGAACAGAGTGTCTGCATAGATGAGCACCGTGGGTACGGGGTTAATCCCCTTTCTTACACCCCCCTGGTTAAAACGTCAACCTACCACCGGTTGACAATAAAAAAGAAAAAAAAAACAACTTAAGGAGATACGCGGAAACATCAATCGCGAAGGTGGGAATCGAACGGATATCTTGATGTGCGTTCCGACTCTTCTTCCCCCCTTCCTGCGACGCGACGCGATCTTGAGGATCGGCGCATTTTCTTGTTTCGCGACCCTTCCAGCGACGCGGTAGAATGAGCTGGTGGTGTATAGCTCATAGTCGCTCACGTCTTCTTTCGCCCCATCGAGTCTCCTTAAGTTAATTGATTGTTTCATTAATTTTGAACTATTTAAATTTTAGCTGTTTGTTAAGATTTTTTTATTTTTTAAATTTATTATTATAAATTATTTTTCGATGTTGAGATTATTAATGGTTTATTCTGGGTAACACTTTGTTACATTAATAGTCTTTTTGAGGGGTTTGAGGTTTTGTGATTAGTTTAATTTTAATATTGGGTATATGGATGAAATATGCTGAAATAATGAGTAAGATTGTTAATATTATTATCCAGACAAATAAAAGGTTTGATGAGATTTAGGGATCAATTGGGTTATTTTAGTGGCGTGACAGAATGATATGGAGTTACGATTTTTGATACTTCATTAAATTATTCCGGTCACGATATGCGTTGGAATTTCCGCGCCAGCTGACTGAGTAGGTTGCCATATGAGAAGGATAGTGGCGAGCAGAGCTGGGACGGCGACATGTGCAGCATCACGGCGTCGGGGTTGAATGGACTGCGAGTGCTGACTATGCGATGGCGATGAAGTCATGTCGTGTTGCGGTGACCTTGTACTTGCTGTTGGCATCAGGGACTCTTTAACTGCTGAAACTTACTTAACAGTGGAATTATTACATGTTGTAATAGTTTTATTCACAAATGTTGGTACTTGGTAACATACAATTTTAATCGATTCATATGCTTTCCCTAATGAGACTATCTATCTACTTATTGTAATGAATATTTAGTGGTTTGAAATGTATGTTACATGGAACTTAAAATATGACACTTGTATGATACCTGATGTTGTTAGACACATAAATACTATGTTCAAAATGGTATACACAATTACTTTATGACGACACTTTGTTATAAGAGTTTTGAACATAAATGTTTTATTTTAAATTGTATTTATTTATGAATTCTTGCGTGAAAGTCCTTTCTTTCCTTAATAATCTAGAGAGTTGTAAGGCAATTTTTTGAGTGAATAATTAAGGGTGATCAATCCTTAATTACATCTCGTTGAGTGGAGTTTGTCCTTGTGCTGTACACCAAACCAACTTGTATGTCACTGAATGTCACTAATTATCATTCATCTTACGCGCACTAGTAAAATCACTAAGTGTCCAACGTGTAAGTAAGTTGCTCGTTACAAGAACTAAAAATACAGTTACAATGGTAAACTTGATTACGATTGTCTGTGTGTGTTTGCGTGGCCACGCGATATTTTTGTATTAAAAGTCGACTTAACACTTGAGTTTTGTGTAGCTACACATTATTTACATAATATTTACACGAGTTTGCGGGAGTGCGTGTGCTTCGGGAATAGACGTACTAATTGTTTCTTAGAATACACATTGCTTACGTATGACTAACTAGACCTAAGTGAATACTAGGTAAGGTCAAAGCATATGAATCATATATGTATTGTGGTTAATTATTTTGTGTAGCAATAAATCAAAATCAGTTAAATAGTTAACTTGTGAAATATATTTATGAATAATTGTATGTTACCAAAATTATCTTATAAAATAAACATAGTATCTATTGACCTAACGTAACTAAATATTTTTATTTTACAAGTCTTGTTTGGAAAACTTTCATTCGGGAGACATGAATTACTTCTTTGACAAGTTTTCCATTTTTTAAGATTTCAACTAGATAAGAGACTGGTGTTACTTGTTTTAATACAGTATAAGGACCTTTATAGCGGTAAGAAAATTTGGTTTGATTTTCCCTTAAATTTTTAGGGTACCATATGAGAACTTGGTCTCCTGGGTGTAAGATTAAGTCTCTCCTATTCCTATCGTAATACATTTTTTGTTTCTTTTGTTCACTA